TATTTGTGCTGTATTACAGTGAATTTAATTTATTTCCAGCTGTTGTATACACGACTCTACATGCCTCCCATATTCCGGATGGTACAGAAGCTAATCGATATAATCGATTTATGTTTTCAAACGCGAAACATTCTTGGAAAATGGAATAAAACAATATCAAAATCTTGTACTTTAAATTTTCTTTTTTGTAAATTAAAAATAAAAAGCAAAAAAATAAAATAAATAAAATATCTGTTTATTATTTTAAAACAAAATTACTAATGAGCAAAATTAAATAGCATAGCAGTTCAGTCACCCGATTAGTGCTCATATTAGTGCCACCCGATTAGTGCTTATATTTCTCCGAACCACTCCACTCTGCGTCACTAAGCGGAAATAGAATTTTACATTTCTTAAAAACTTTTCCAAATTTAACTTTTTAACGGAATTAGGTTAGTATTTCTTAATAAAAAAAATATTAATAAAAATATTTAAAATTTTTCTTTTTTAAGAGGGGAAATTAAGGGTTAAAAAACACATGTTCTTGGTAAATTTTTCGAACCGCTTATGAATTATATATTATCAAATTTATGATATATAAAATTAATTAAAAACCGAAAAAAGTCAATAGTTTTTTTGTTTGTTTGTTTATTTCAGTTGCAAAAATTAATGGATTGAACCAAGTTACTACAGATGTAGCCAGTTTTTTATTTAATACAAGTTTTATGCAACTAATTGACTTTTTATAAGTAAAAAAATATTCTGGCTACCTCTGTAGTAATATACTTCAACTCATTTTAACGGGTGTGAACTGTATAGAGAATCGACTCAGATTATTCTAAAAACCTTTTTTATTTATAGTTATAAAAAATAAAATATAATAAATAAAAATGCTTTAATGCTCAATAAAAAAACTATCAGTTTACAACTCTTTACTACCGGTAAATAAATTAATCCGGAAAAAAAAAAAAAATTCCGGTTTTTAAATAAATTTTTTTCTTATTTACAAAAATAAATATACTACGTCTTGTATAAAAATTATTTCAAAATTTTTAATGGTTCTCGGATTATAAACCTATATCTTTTTTTAGCAGTGCCACGTTAGTACGCTCTGGCAATATCCTAATCTAAATGTCATTCCAATTTTGTGAAAAGCACGCCAGAGTTAAATTATAACTTTGTTATTGAGCCGTGAAATCATCAACAAATTTGGATTGCCAAACAAAATCTCTAGCTTCTGAGGCATGCGCGCTAACAACTGCGCTACGACATAACTCATAGCTCAGAGTCTATTTGCAAAATATTTTTATCAGGAGTCTATATGTGATCTGCAAATGTATAAATGATGAAAGACACAACTTGTGCAGAGTTGATATAAAAAAAGCTCTCAAAACAGATCTGGTTAAACCGGTATACTAGGTTAAACCAGATCTTTTTTGAGGGTTTTTTTACCTACAATGTGTTAGCGTTCCATAAATACGGTATGAGAATTAAATTGGAAGCACGTTTGACTTATTGGCTTGTTAAAAAAAGATCTTAATTATCAATTAACCTAATCTTTATTTCATTGTGCTATTAATCTTGAAATTTATTAACAATATATAATTTAACTAAATATGTTTAAAGAAACATCTTGATTTAAAATGAAATTAATTATAATCTAAATACATGTTTAAATTATATTGAAAAAAAATTTACGATATCAATTTCTTTAAAGTTAAATTTCAAACCAATCGCGTTTAAAATTTAATTTGTATTTATGTAGCAAACTTGTGTAAAAACCTTTCTTTTTCTTGATGTTTAGCTTCATTTTTATTTAAAACTTTATTTTCATTTGTTTTACATTTTATAGCTACAGAATACACAATTAAAAATGCAATTAATTTAGAAACCTAAAGAATTACTAAAAAACTTAGAATTGAATTATTCCTCTTTATGCACATTAAAGTCTTTATGGTGATGACGATTTAACATTAATGTGTAAAATTCACGGTTCACGGCTCGATAAAATAAGAAATAACTTTTTTTTACAAATCAAAGTGAATTAAGCATAATTTTAAAAATGATAAAATTTTTTGTTGTTACATTTAAACTTTTTGAAACATGATGTATACTATTAGAAAATCAAATGATAAACTACATTATTTAAATAATAATGCAAACCATTTGCCACATTCATTCTAAAACAAATCCCAGTTTTAACTAATAACAGGTTAAAACAAAACCCATCTAATAAAAATGTATTTAACTTTTCTAACGCATATTCATATAATTTCTCTTTTAAAAAAGTGATTTTCAAAATTTAAAACGAAATGTGACCGTGAAAATAAGAATTTAAAAAAGCGAAATAGTATTAACTTAATTTGGTTCAACCCCCGTATGTAGAAAATGTTTTCAGTTACATAAAAAAAGCATTTTAAAAATCGAACTTTAAATAATTAAACATGCGGGCCAAGAATGTTTCTTAAATAGGAAATCAGAATTAATATTTGCATGCAAACCTAAAATGAAGCTTCTCTTAAATGAATGAAAAAGAAGTTTCTCTTGAACTTTAAAAACAAGTGAGCTAATAGTGTAATAATAAAATTATTATTACATTATTAGCTTAGTTTTGAAGACTTATAATGTAATAATAATAAAATTATTATTACATTATAAGTCTTCAAAACTTTTATGAGAATGTTTTCAAAACAGCAATTAAAAGAAAAGGACTAAGAAATGAACCCGAATGCTCACTTGATTTGAAACATTTTCTTTAACTTTTATTTTCACTGCTATTGTCACATTTTCATATATAGAATAATGTGACCAGCCGTTTTATCTTTTTAAACAATCTACTTTGCTTCGATTTAGAGGTTTTAAGTTAACCTAAAAGGTACTCAAGATGTTTCAAAAATATTTTGGGTGTGCATGAGTTGTATTCCATTGAAAACAAAATAAAAAGCGTTTCTTTTTTTTTTGGGAATTATATGCATTTTTTAAATAGTCAATTTGCAGAATTTCAACTCAGTGGCAGATCCGGCCTTATTTGGTGTTTTAGATACAAACTTTCAAACATAGAATAAACTCGAAACATTTATATGCTTATAATAAACCATATTGTGTCAAAATATGGAAAAAAACCCAAATATGTAAATACATATATAAATATATATATACATACAAAGTAAATACAGTAAGACATCTCTTTTTAATAAGAAAGAGTTTATATGGTCACAATATTTGGACACTGAAAGATAGAACAATTAAAATTTATAAATGAATATTAGTATAGTCGAGAATAGTACAAAAAATTTTTATTAACTTGTTGCTCTCATGTTTAGGGTGGGGATGAGGATAAAATTTTTTTGTTCCCAACAAAATAAGGCTTTTTTGTTCCCAACCTCCAATAATCGCAATTCTTTGCAAAGCGTCATTATTTGACATAAGTATAAACAAACAAATGTTTGGAGTTTGCTCCATGGCTGGAAGTTAGCTCGAACTCTAAAAAATGCTGTTTCTGTCGCTGACCATAAAACATTCCTAAAAAAAGGAAGTAATTGGACGTTATCTATCCACGTAAGTTAAAAGCTTTGTCCAAAGTTTCTTTTATTACTATAAAAACATAGTGTTTAAAATAGGCAGAAAAATTTCAAAGCTCTTCACAACAAAAAAGAAGACATAATTTTCAAGGGAATTATGTGGGGATTAAAAATTTCGGTTAAATAATTTTACTTATTAAGTCCATTATCTGGATTAAGGCATTCTACTTTTTTTGCGACATCTTAGAACACCGAAAAACAAAGTTTCAATCATGACAATAAACAGCTTTTTTTGTATGTTACTTTCTGCCTTCCTTTCTTTATCCTAAGCTTTTGTGATACTGGCAACAGCAAAACAAGAAAAAGCTATTGTTACTCTATTACTACAAAACATGGTCAATGTTTTGTATCTTATTTGCTATATCGTGTATCTTATTTGCTATAGCGATAGATTAAAAATTTGGGCGGTAGAAATATAAACCTGCATTTAAAAACAATTCCATAAATCCATTCACTATAAAATTACTTTCAGCGACTTAAATTAAGAGATTTTTGATAAATATTTGAAATATATATAAAATAATATAGCTATACTACCATTTTAAAATTTAATTATTAACATTTGTAAGTTTTCAAAAGTTTTAAAAAACTGTTCATTATTGTTTCGATTCGCATTTTATTTGAAATGCTATCTAAACATGTGAATTGAGCGACATTTTGAATTAAGCTGAACTTCAGCCTCAAGAAATGTAAATACAAAATGAGTCTGAATTTAAATTTTAATATTTAAAACATTCAATGTGTAAGATATCAAAAAGAATAACAGTCCATTAATTTCAATTTATATCTGTCGTTACAAATGGCCTTTGCCTGATTATAGTAAAACAATAAAAGTTGAAAAAATAATTGACAAAAAAAAAAAAGTCTAAAGTTCGTTTCCAGTGAAATACTTAGATTCCAGTAAAACACTTTGATTATTTTAAACTAATAAAAAAAAAATAGTTAAAGTTTTACATAACGAAATAAGTCAATTTATGTTTTCTATTAAAATTATATCATTTCTATATAAATTATTATATATTTCTATATGGTTACTAATTAAATTATTTTTTCGTGACTAAAGATTGTTGTCATCTTTAAAACTAGTAGGCTCAGTGATTTTTCTAAATGTAAAAGAGTAACGTACTGTTTCCGATATTTTGTAAATTTTTAGATTTTAGTGAAAACGAATTTCAGACAAACAAACAAACAAAAAAAAACTAAAAAGAAAAAGGCAACTTTGCTTTTTTTGCAAAAATTACGATACAATCCTGCTGTTTTTACACTTCTTGATTTTTCTGCTTTTCTGTTAAAAAAGGTATTATAACAACCTTTTAAAATAAAAATTTTTTTAATGGCTTTTATGACTTTTGAGGCTAAAAATTTTTCCATAATTGCCAAACCATCGGACATCAATGAAGGGCGGCGCCGCGACTCTTGAAATTTGCAAACAAAATTGAATTTAAAAATAAAATTGCATATTTTATGTTTAAATATATTTAGGATTTGTCATCTTTATGAACGATAAGTCCTTTCTCTATTAGATCAGGAATCTCCACAGCAAGCCATGGACCTAGCTATTTTCAAAAAATGTAAGAAATGTATATATATATATATATATATATATATATATATATATCATAAATATATGATATATATATATATATATATATATATATATATATATTATATATATATATATATTGTATATATATATTATATATATATATATATATATATATATATATATATATATTATATATATATATATATATATTGTATATATATATATTATATATATATATATATATATATATATATATATATATATATATATATATATATATATATATATATATATATATATATATATATATATATATATATATATATATATATATATATGTGTGTATATATATATATATATATATATGTGTGTGTATATATATATATATATATATATATATATATATATATATATATATATATATATATATATATATATCAAAGAAAATTGCGGAAAAATTTCTTTAAAACAAATATTTCTTTTTACCCCTAATGCCATAGCATGTGCGATTCCAAATTTTGGAACATTTCTTGCCCATAATGGCTTAAAGTGATCAGTTAAGCAAATCTTACCGCCCCTAAAAATTAAATTTTACACATAAATCAAGAAAACAGTTATATTTTAACTATAAATTTTACTAAACATTTAACTATATCTTACCATAAGCTCGATATTAAATAAAAGTATTAAATAAAAAGATTTAAGTAAAATTAAACCTTAAAATTAAAACGTAAAATATTTATTTGTATTAAGATAAACATTTATTTGTATTAAGATAAATATTTATTTGTATTAAGATAAATATTTATTCGTATTAAGATAAATATTTATTTGTATTAAGATAAATATAATTACCTGTACATTTTCGCAGTTTTACCATCCAGTTCAGGAATGGCTATTTCTGGTGCTGTGCTAGGATATGTAACAGGAATCTAAATACATTTCAGTGGTAAAATTTAGGTTTATGTCGAATCGACCATTAGACGACTAAAGTATTGTCTTACTTAAATCGCGTTAATCAGTGTTTTGTTATTTTGTTTGCAATTTTTTCATACTCTCGACGAATTATTTAGGTCAATTATCAGTCATTGTGTTTAAATGCAGGAAAAAATAATATTAGTAAATTTTTTTTTTTATATATTTAAGTTTTTTTTTTTTTTTTTGGATCTTGATCATTTATAACTAAATCATTTATAACTAGATGAAATTGTTTTTAATTTCGTTTAAAATACATTTTTCTTATGAATTAAAAAAGATCAATATCATCAATGCATAACACTTCATTTTATCGTTACGAAAACAAAAAATTCCAGTCTCATTTTTAATTATGAGCGTACTTAATTTGGTTGGCTTTATTTTATTTCATTTAGAAAATACTAATATCATGAAACTTTTTTGATGGCAAAAAAACTTGTTTGCAATGTTTTGTATGAACAAAATAAAACTTTTAAAAATTGGTTAAAATAATCATAACAAATACTCTTGTTATATTATACAAATTCATTAATACAATGTTGTAATTAATTGTCTGGTCGCCGGGTGACCATATAGGATAGTGAATGGTACCGGTTAACCACTGAATGCTACTTTTTTGTAAATTTCCTTTGAGATTTTTTGTAAATTTCCTTTGTAGTCGCCTCCCGTATCACCGGATGATTGCAGCATTACACCATTGAATTTAATATAAAACATTTTATAAATTTAGCACATATGAAACTAACTTACATCAAACTCTACATCAAACTCGTATTTCAACAGATTATGAATATGCCAACATTTCCCCCACCATCTAAAAATTATAAAAATTTTAATTAAACATTGGTTACCTAAAGAAATTTTTTTGTGTAAGAAATTTTGAAACTGCTAATCTCTAAAATATACTGAGTTCAACTGACTAAAGCATCGAGCTCCGATAAGACATCGATTTGATTTCAACTGACTAAAGCATCGAGCTCCGATAAGACATCGATTTGATTTTGAGCAAAATGGAATAGTTAAAAATTTCAATTATTTATTTTTTACGGAAAATTTTTTTTTATTTTTAAGTTGTAAAGAATATTGAGCTGCATTTAAATATATAAAAATCGAATAATTTTTTTTTACGTTTTATATGAAACTTTATTTAATTAAAAAAAAAAATCTTTTCCATACAACAATGACATTCGGGGAAAATAAAACACTAAAATATAAGTGTAATTAAAACAACACTTTATTAAAAAAAACAAAAACCAATCAATAATTACCATTAAAAAACAATCAATAATATCAATCAAAAAATCAATCAAATAAAATAAACTTTTTTATTTTTGTAATGATGTTGAGTCATTCAGAGGTACTAGAGGTTGAGTTGAGTTTTCAGTTGTGTGGCACTTTTTGGTGCAATAAAACTTAACGTCTTTTACATATTGCTTTGGTATGCATGTTTGATATAGCCAGACCTTACAATTTAAACTTTCACACTCTTTTTGAATTTCTTTTTGACAGGGTGACTTTTTAAGGTGAATTTGGAACTGACTTATCTAAAATTTATTTGGAACTTAGTTATCTAAAATTAGATAACTATAATTAGATTAATGTCTTTTGTGAATTTAAAATTACATAACTAAAATAAGATTGAACTAATTACCTAGAATTTTCTTAATGGCAGGAACATACACTTTAGTGAGCCACTGCACAAAACGCTTATCTTCCATCTATCTAGAACAGAAATATAGTGTATATGGCATCATCTGGACCAATCTCTGTACAGACGTTTTTTTGATTTAAAAATAATGTATGGAGCAAGATGATTACCAGCAGGATTAATGCAAATTCTAACTGTATAATAGATATTTCCATTGTTGCAAACCAACTTCAATGGTCGTTTTGCACCACACCGGCGAACTATATTTTGCTTATCTTGACTACCAGAGAAGCCAATTTCATCAAAACTCCACAAATGACATGGAGTGTTTTCATTGATATCTACTACTTTAAATTTTGCAGTGTTGAAATACTTTGCTACTATTTCTTGCATACAAGAAGCGGCTCTGAGTGATGAAATATTACCTATGACTCTTATGCTCTAACTATGACTCCACCGGTATATGAAAAGGTTATACTAATCCACAGTGGTTTCAAATCAAAAAGTGGCAATTCCAGATTCGCAAAAATCAGATATAAAAAGTTCTGATTATGCAAGAGTGTTGCAAATTAATCATATTTTCATGTTCTGATAGAATTTTTTTTTTAGACTACTTGGCGCTTTCCCACAGATGCTCAAAGTTGTTTCTCTTTCTCTTTTCTACAAATACTATAATGGGCACTGCTCTAAAAAGATAGCGTCTCTTGTGCCATCTACTAAAATTCATTCTCGTGTTACTCGTCATTCAATTAAGTTTCATCCTTTTTCTGTTACTGTTCCTTAGTGCTCCAAAAACTCTTATTCGTCTAGTTTTTTTCCTCGAACATCAGTTGTTTGAAATTTGCTTCCTTTATCTTGCTTTCCTGATTCATATAATTTGCAATCTTTTAAGTTGTCTGTCAACTGTTATCTTGCTCTACAATCTTTGTCTTTTCTCTTCCAGTAACTTCCAACACTAATTAGTGGTTGCTTGCAGCCTTGTTGCCATTTTTTAAAGAACAATTATTTAGTGAAAAAATAATAATTTCAAACTTTATTTTATTTCTTAAACTGCACCTGTGAACTTTCATATATTATATATCAATCGGAAAAATATTAAACAGGCTTTTAGAGTTTGTTGTAAAATATTTTATAAAATTACATTTCATGCTGTAAAAATACAGAGAAAGACTTTTTAGACGAGGAAATAATAGCATGCTTGAATATGACTTTTATTAAATTCTGTATGTTTCTGTAAAAATCTGATATGAAAGGATAAACTTCGACTCTTCTTCTTTTAAATCAATATAGACCGCCTGCACCCTCCCATGAAAAACTATTTTCAATTTAAAAATGTTTCTACTTAAATTGATATATATTTTTTTTACATAAAACATGACAGTCATTTTTATTCAGGGCTAAAAATCACTCTCAAATTTTATTTTTTAATATAAACCTTAACATACATAAAATAAAATTATCAGATTAAAATTATAATCAAAAAATTTAGTTTTCCCCAAGTAAGAGGACTTGTAAAATAAGAAAAAACATGCAAAATAGAAGGAATGATATCATTTAATAATAATAGTTTAAAATTATTTTAATTAAAAGCAAATTTCATAATTTTAGCTGAGTATCTATTCGCTATCAACGCAATCTAATTGTTGATAAACATCATTTAGTTCAAGTAAAACCTTTTCATTAATATCCTTACTTTTTGTAGAATTTTCAATCAGAAAAAGTTGCAACAACTCTTCTGTTAGTACTGATTTACATACAGACTTCAAACAACTTTTCAAAATATTACTGGAAGTATAAGGATCTAATTTTTCTAAATCTCTACAAAAAAAATCAGTTGTTAATTCTTGAGGTTTTTCTTGCATTTTTTATTTCACTTTTCTGAAGACATTTGTGAAGACTTTCTCCAGCATTTTTGCCTTTCTATGACATTTGTGAAGACTTTCTCCAGCATTTTCGCCTTTTTATGACATTTGTGAAGACTTTCTCCAGCATTTTCGCCAAATGTTCCAACTGGCAAAATTAATTCAACCATGATTTGAGCTCCATGAGCTAAAACTTAAGAAAATAAGTAGAAACTTTATACCATGAATAATTCTCATTGATAATTAAAACTGTTTGTAGAAAATAATTTTCAAATATGATTGGATCAATAGGAATTTGATAAGACAAACATTAATATTGTTCTTAAATGGACAATAAGATTTATATCTATATCTGAAATTTCTGATAACAATATTGGATCAGAAAAAGCTTGCCATGCAGTATTGCCATTATTATATGAATCAGTGCCACCTGGATCAGGTTCCTCAACATGTAAATTTAATTTTTTCCAAAATCTTTTTTTGTATAAGACTTTTTCGAGCATTTACATAACCTTTATTTATTTTTCCTTTTGCCTGCTCTTGCCTAATATCCAATTTGTACAACAAATGAAGGAGATATTCCATGATACGGATCCAACAAAGAAGTGGACTTATTCCAAAGAGTAAAAATTCTTTCTTAATGTTAAATAATTTGTTTGTGCAGTTTTCAATGTGACTCATTTTAGTAAGTGTTGTTTGACAAAGAGGACACAATTGATAAGACGGTGTTTCAGTGATTTCCACTAAAACTTTTCCATCGATAGTTGTTAAAAATAAAAAGCTTTTGATATTAGGAACTTTTCGATTAGTTAGCCATAATGTAATATCAGAAAGTTCATTTATTTGTTGTTCAACAAAAAGTTTCGTTTTGAGAATAAGTTCTTTACTTTCTTTAGCACTTTAAGATTATTGGTCTGCAAAACAGAAATAGGAGATGGGTTTGCACATCCCAGTCATGTGCTTGAAGTCTTAAGAATACAGTTGTAACAGAAAAAAGTGAATCGTCTGATGAACTTTTAAATTACTCATCAAACTTTGTATTGAATTGGGAAAAATTACTGGCTTCATTAAATCCCCCAATTTACAACAAAAATCAACTCAAAAAAATCAACTTTTATTTCTTTATCAATGTTTTTTTTTGATACATGGTAGCCACAAATTTTAAAAGTTTCAGAACATTTCAGGACTTTTTGTTACATTTTCCAGGTCATTTTATATTCTATTAAATGAATATTATCAATTATTTTTTCACTATGTTTTTTTCATATTGATTGAGTTATAGAATAATATGTTAATATTAGAGTTTTAAAATTATTTGGCTGTATATATATATCTATATATTATCTCTCTCTATATATATTTATATATATATTAGGGTAATAACTATTTTAATTTTTTTTTGTAATGAAACTGAAACCTATCACATTCGAGGAACAATTATATGCAAATGACAGTAGCAACGTTAATTTTTTTTTAATTGAAAAAAGTTCCCCCACCTTTCAATTTTTATTTTTTCTTATATCGCTCAATGAGGTATTTTCACGAATAAACAATACCATGATAATTATCAACAATCACGTGATAGAAAGAGATGCTTTACGATTACTTTGAGCCTTTTTGTTTACATAACTATAACCTCTCAATCACTGATCTGTATATATTATATCTATGCTCTCAAAAAAAAACAAAAAACAAAGCCATTATTCCGTTATTAATCTATCAATTATATTTATCCATCACGTGACGTTTTTAAAAAGTTTTCCGGCTCATTAAAATACCTCATTTGTTTAACAATTTAAATTTCACACTGACATTTTATGTAATGTTCTAGGCTGCTTTTAAGCACATTTCTGTCAAATGTCTGTTTCTATTTGTTTACAAGAAAAAAACATTTAAAGATGGTAGTTAACTTTTTTATTTTTATTGATCCCAGCTTAAATAGCGGAAACTTGCTCCAACATGGGGCAAGTTTAGTAAAAATAATTATTTTATTATTAATATATTTTATTTTCTGTTTCAGGTGCAAACATAAAATATATATATATATTCTGAAGTATTTTATAACATTTTGGAATATTGTAAATAAATTACCTTGTTTTCAGTGCAAGATTGCAAGTCATCCAGAAAAGACATTTTGTCACTTCAATAAAATGTTTTATAGATATTCCAGAAATAGTAAAGAATCAAACAGGTGTATCTGGATAAAAAATCTACCCTATTCTTCCAAAAATAAAAGAAATCCAAAGATTCCATCTGTTGAAAAACTAACCTATCTCATGCGGATGCCGACAAACCGTCAAATTC